CAACAGGAACATAGAACCATAACACCTCTATCAGCTGATCCAACAGGAACATAGAACCATAACACCTCTATCAGCTGATCCAACAGGAACATAGAACCATAACACCTCTATCAGCTGATCCAACAGGAACATAGAACCATAACACCTCTATCAGCTGATCCAACAGGAACATAGAACCATAACACCTCCATCAGCTGATCCAACAGGAACATAGAACCATAACACCTCCATCAGCTGATCCAACAGGAACATAGAACCATAACACCTCCATCAGCTGATCCAACAGGAACATAGAACCATAACACCTCCATCAGCTGATCCAACAGGAACATAGAACCATAACACCTCTATCAGCTGATCCAACAGGAACATAGAACCATAACACCTCTATCAGCTGATCCAACAGGAACATAGAACCATAACACCTCCATCAGCTGATCCAACAGGAACATAGAACCATAACACCTCTATCAGCTGATCCAACAGGAACATAGAACCATAACACCTCTATCAGCTGATCCAACAGGAACATAGAACCATAACACCTCCATCAGCTGATCCAACAGGAACATAGAACCATAACACCTCTATCAGCTGATCCAACAGGAACATAGAACCATAACACCTCTATCAGCTGTTCTATTCTCCTGTTTTATTTAATTTCTTCTTTAATTTATTTTCTGTTTATATATAATTCATGTATATATTGTGTATTATTTCTGTACTTTCTCAAAAAGAATTCTGCATTATTTCAGTGTTTCCTCTGAGCTTTCCTCCTTCTCTCCCTGAGGTACGGCCCTGTGTTCTCGCTGCTCCTCGGCCCTCACCTCTCGGTGGTCTTGAACCGGCACCAGGAGGCCAGAGAGGTCCTGCTGCAGCGCGGGAAGGAGTTCGCCGGGAGACCCTTCATGGTGAGGGGGGGCTTCATAAGAAGTGCTCAATTTAATTATAAGAATATTCTAAGTCTCTTTAAAAAGTCCTAATTTTGTACAAATATCCACATTTGTTCTCAAAAAGGCCATAACTTCTTAAAAAGGTCTACTTTACTAATACTGTCCTAACTTTCACAGGAAGACCAGGATTTTCTCAAATTCTTTTATTTTTAAAACATGTCCTTGCTACAGAAAAAATACTGGAGAAAAACAGGAAAAATAAAGAATAAATACAGGAAATAAATACAGAAAAAAGACCCCAGAAATAAAGAACAATATACTGAATAAATGACAGTCAAGACTTTTTTTTATTCCCTCGCAGGTGACCACGGACCTGTTGACCCGGGGGGGGAAAGACATCGCCTTCTCAGACTTCTCTCCTCTCTGGAAGATGCACCGCCGCCTCGTCCACGACTCCTTCACTCTGTTCGGGGAGGGCAGCGGACGCCTGCAGGACATCGGTACAGAACAGCATTAATGCAGGACATACCATAATACTGCAGAATTAAGAATAATGCATGAAAAATAATACGATACTACTCCTGTATATTTAACAAAAAAACCTGTCTTTTATTTGTATTATTGCTGAACAGATGTGCAAATGTTTTGAATTATCTGTGAACACGTGTTAGTGGGTGACAGGAACATTATCTTCCTTCCAATCTGTTTCACTCGTAACGGTCTTGAGTCTTTTGAGTTTCATTTAAGAATTGTTCCTCTTCGACGGTCAAGGGGACTATTCACTAACAGGATGTGAAGCTACAGAGACTTTGAATATCAAATCAAATTAACAAAAACAAGTCTGCTGCTCTGGTTCCTTTAAAGATGAATAAACCTTAAAGTGTAATCTCTTCCTCCAGCTGGATGTAATAATAATACTTGTTTTTATATATATTTATTATGTGTTTCCTTTAGTCCGGTCCTCGGTGGACGACCTGTGTTTGGAGCTGTTGTCAGGAGGGGGGCGGGGCTTCGACCCGTCGCCCGCGGTAACGAGAGCTGTCACTAACGTGGTGTGCACGCTGGTGTTCAGCTCAACGTATTGTCACGGCGACGCCGAGCTGCAGGAAGTGATGCGGTACAACGACGGCATCGTGGAGACCATCGCCGGGGGGGGGCTGCTCGACATCTACCCCTGGATCAAGGTGCCTGAAGTAGACCCTCTCTAAAAATAACTCTAAACTTTTAGAAAAAAATCCCTCATA